CGCGCCACTTCCGCTTATTTCTGCGGAGCAGCAGCTGCCAGCCGTTGGTGTGTGCTTTTGTGCGGTGCTTCATGGGATGGGCCGGAAATATGTGATGTCGTTGCGTGTGACGTCGTTTAGTAACATTTGAAATGTAGAGAGAGGATGTTCGCGGGCTGTGGCGGTCGTGAGCTCTACTCGAACTGCCCCTACGTGGTGGAGCTCCGTAGCCCGCTGCATGTCCGTCGTACCATGGGGTCCACCCGCCCCTGCCTACCCTTCCCGCCCTCCACTCCTCGTAACCCTCTCGTGACGCATGGTGGGGGGGGGGGGGAAGTAGATTCGCGGGTGAAAGTTAGTCTGAAAAGCAGCACTCATTTGAAGGCTTTGTGCTTTGCGACTGCGGCCCGCTGGCTATGGCCCCGCCTCTGCCTGACCTCCACATTTGATTTGGTCCAGATTCGCCCGTGAGTGAAACAAAGCAGCCACGCGAGGCCACCACGGGGCGGGCGGGGCGCGGCCAACTCAAAATCCTGGCCACGTATAAAGCCCAGCCCCTCCCCCCTCCCCCAATCCCCCTTACGGTGAAATTGGCTGGTATTCGGAGCCGGCCCAGGGCTGGCCACTGTAGTGCCGCGCAGCGCTACGCCACGCCCCCCTGCACATTGTATCATTCCCCACCCCTTCTCTCTCTCTCTCTCTCTCTCTCTCTCTCTCTCTCTCTCTCTCTCTCTCGCTCTCTTTCTGTCTTGAAGGTGCACCGCGCTGATGACAGAGACGGAAAAAGAGCGATCCGAGATGCGGCCTCTGCTTCATCGAAAGGAGAAAAACTCCGAGAGAAACGCACACACACACACACACACACACACACAGAATGAGAGAAAGAGATAGAGATATATTTGGTGGAGAGAGAAATGATATATCGCTGGCTGCGAGGAAGACAAGGAGCCCCGTTTTATCATACAAGTATATTTGCCCTCGCTGGCTTGGCCTCTTCTCTCTCTCTCTTTCTCTCTCCCAGGTCGGATCGAATCGGGGGATCAGTCCTGAATATAATCCACTTATACCTCAATAGCTGCGCGCGCTGCGCCCGCCTGACGTATTGCTCAGAGACACGGCTAATACCCGTCCGTGCGAAGAGCGGCGAGGAGCGGCGAGGAGGCCCCCCAGCGGAGCCAATGGGACGGGACGCGCGGGACGGGCGGGACGGGCGGGAGATAAAGCAGACCGACGATTTGTTTCTCCTCTTGGAAGAGGGAGAAGGAGAAGGACATGTAGGAAAAGATGGAGTGCGAGAGAGATAGAAGAGAGAGGGAGAGAGAGAGAGAGACCCGCACCTCAACCACCCCACAAATTACTGTTTCGCAGGTTACAGTAAAAACAACAGAGTAGTTAACTAGCAAGAGGCCGAAATGTGCAACAAGCTTAAGCTATCGTTATTGTTGAGCGTGTCGCTCGGTTTGTCCCTTTCCTTTTTTTTTTTCGAGGGTTAATGCCCGCGCGGTGTAAATCAATCGCAAACGTCGATCCGAATTATCTGCAGCGGAGTGGTGGCGGCGTCACCAACGCGTGATTAGCCGCGGGAGGGGCCGGTGCATCCCGTGCCGCCCACCGCGCCCTGCCACGCCCCACCGCGCCCTGCCACGCCCCGCCGCGCCCCGCCGCGCCCCCTACGTCCACAGGGGCCGTATGACCGCTGCAGCACACCC